GCGCCCCCTCTCCGTACCCCGTGCCGGGAGGGCCCGGCGAGCCAAACGGCCACGCAGAGCACGCTCCGCACGGAGCCGGGGGCAGAGCGGGCTGTGAGCTCGGCCATCTCTGCACGCAGCGAGGTGCCGCGCTGCCAGCAGCGGCGCCTGGGGAGCCCGTTGGCAACGCTGCACGCGGGGCTGCGCTGAGGGCAGGAGCACCGAGGCGGAAAGGGCTCCTCGCGCCGCCCCGCTCGCTGCATTGCCACGGAGCTCTCTGCGGTGGAGGGGCTCCAACCGCACGAGGTCCAGCCGGCGTTTAAACTCCAGGAGACTCGGGTTTGACCCTGAGCGTTGGCAAAGCAGACGGAGATGAGAAAGGGGGAGAGCGCTCTGCTTCTGGGTAGCCTCTCCCAATAAAGTCCGTGTTGCAATTTTCAACCCCTTTTGAGTTTTACCTTCCTGATAATCAATTGAAATTCCAGAGTTACTGGGCCTGTGAAAAACCACTTCATAAATGCTTGTTGCAAATCTGGAATGTGTAAAATTAGGAGTATTAATTTGACTCAGTATCTGTTCACCTTTTTCTTGACTCCGAGCTGATGATTTTCTAATGGAGCAGATAGACTAAACAAATCAATCATTAGGCAAGAACATGGAGAGAAAGACAAACACAAAGATGGACAAAGAACCAGAAAAAGAGGAGGAAAACCAGACCACGGCAGCAGGTGGACAGGTTGGCTGGGAACCTACTGTAAAATATGTGTAAACATCGGTATGTAAAAAAATACAGATAGACGCAAGAACTGTAATTTGTGACGAAGGTGACTGCTCCTGTCTTCCTCAGCCGGTTGCCCGTGTCCTCGCCCGTTCCCTCCGTCAGGCCTGCGCGGGGTAAGGCCAGCTCCTGTCTTCGTAGAACTTCTTCAGGCCCTGGAGGTTCACGGGGGGGAAGTAGGGCCCGATCCTCTTCCGAATCCACCACTTCCCGTCGCTGGCGTGCTTGCCTCCCGGCTGGCTAAACTTGTACCTGAAGTGCTCCCCTCTGATCCACCTTGGGAAAGAGGAAACGCAGCTGGTGAGACCGGCCCCGGGGAAACGCGAACGCCCGCGAG